AGGTCTTCCGTCTTCAGCGGAAGACCTTACTGTTATTCTTAGGTTTCTTTTCCACTATTTTTATTTTTGTTTTTTTTTTCTTACCGATTTTGTGCGCGCGATTTCTCGAGAAAAGCTCGATCGATTTTCATGAAACTTTCAGGTCTGATAGAACATAAAAAAATCTAGAGACATATTTTTTTTATTTTGATGACGTCACTTCCGGTCCGGAGATTTCTGAGATTTAGTGATTTTTAGAGGGTCACTTTGTCCGGCAGTTTTCTCAAAATGCACTTAACACAGAAGCATGAAATTTTCAGTGATGCTAGAGCAACCTTTGGAGATGTGCACTAAGTATATCACAACTACCGGAAGTACGAAGTGTCGACGCTCGCTATGGCCCGAAAATAGTCCTACCAAGAATTTCAAAATTTTTAACACCTTTTCTACGATAACTTTTTACCTAGAAATATGTTGTTAAAACATGTAGAACAAAAGAAGTGTAGAATTGCATGATCTTTCAAATGATATCCAAGAAAAAGGGCTGGCCCCTAAAATAAAGGATCCAGAGGGGCCAAAACCTTTTATCTGATATCTCAAAAAGTCTTGACAATTTGTTATGCATCATAGAAGGGAAGTTGTTCAAAATAATAAATAGCAGAGGCAGAGATCATTTAAAGTCGTTAAAATACCGTCACTTCCGGTCAGGCCGGAAGTATTTGTAAATGGCTCGTTTTTTGCACTCATAACCGTAAATGTCTATCAATCTCGATATCATCTTCTTCAGAATTAGACGGAAGACTTATTTGTTGCTTTGCAACAAGCTCGTCTAGTAAGAAATAACTTCTATCACCTTTCTGAGCATTAATCTCTTGCAATACCACTATTTATTCTGACTTTTAACCTTGTAAGTAGAGGCTCAATTAACCAAAACAAATGACCTTGACCTTTGACCTTGACCTTTGTCATTTGACCCTGACCTTTGACCTTGACCTTTAAAGTGAATTCAAAATTCATATCCAAGCTATAAAATACAAAACTCGCTTATTTATTATTCAACACCCCCCCCCCCTTTTATTAAACCAGAGTAACCTAGATTTCACCTCTTGAACTCATACGCCATCCGGTATCCACATAAAACTGCGGAAACATGTAGAAGAAACCTCAAAGAAAGTGTATTTAAAGTTTAACAGTGATCCTGCACATTATATAGAAGTTATAAATTTTCTCGGCAATAAAAAAAAAAAAACTGGAACGACGCATCAGCAACGTAGAATTTTTTTTAACGCATGCCAAATTTCTGATTGACTTGTAATAATCAGGAACATGTAGAAGAGACCTCAAAGAAAGTGTATTTAAAGTTTGTTTTTTTTTCAGTGATCCTGCACATTATATAGAAGTCATAAATTTGCTCGGCAATAGAAAAAAAACAAGAGGCCCATGGGCCACATCGCTCACCTGGGTAACTTGGGTGATGCAGATCTTTTTTAAAGATTTGATCTATATATATTTCTATGTAAAACTTGGATTCCCTATTGTGGCCCCGCCCTACCCCCGGGGGTCATGATTTCACAATTTAATATCTACACTACCCAAGGATGCTCCCACATAATGTTCAGCTTTCCTGGCCCAGTGGTTCTTGAGAAGAAGATTTTTAAAGATTTGTTCTATATATTTCTATGTAAAACTTGGATTCCCTATTGTGGCCTCGCCCTACCTCTGGGTCATGATTTTAACAATTTAATACCTACACTACCCATGGATGCTTCCATGTAAGTTTCAGCTTTCCTGGCCCAGTGGTTTTTGAGAAGAAGATTTTTAAAGATTTGTTCTATATATTTTTATGTAAAACTTGGATTCCCTATTGTGGCCCCGCCCTACCCCCGGGGGTCATGATTTTAACAATTTAATATCTACCCTACCCAAAGATGCTTCCACGTAAGTTTCAGCTTTTCTGGCCCAGTGGTTCTTGAGAAGAAGATTTTTAAAGATTTGTTCTATATATTTATATGTAAAACTTGGATTTCCTATTGTGGCCCCGCCCTACCCCAGGGGGTCATGATTTTAACAATTTAATATCTACACTACCCAAGGATGCTTCCATGTAAGTTTCAGCTTTCCTGGCCCAGTGGTTCTAGAGAAGAAGATTTTTAAAGATTTGTTCTATATATTTCTATGTAAAAATTCGGAGTCTTTAAAGATTGCAGATTGTGAGCACGGACCAGTCTGACCTTACGCTAATTTCATTATAACGTCAAACATTTGGATTTTGACTTAACACATGTTCATGAACACACACTGCATTTCTTTTATAAGGCGCAAAGCACTTCGAAGTGCTATCAATAATCTTTAAGTATAAATTATAATTTATTTAATTTTTGAAATTCAAAGCAATGCACAAAAACTTACGTGCGTCATATAAATAAACAATTTGTATAAACAAACTGCTCAGCACAGTCCGACGCTGCGCTAGATTAATAACGTCATGAATAGAAATCTCCATTTTCAGTAAATTACATGACTGTATTTTTCAATTCTTGTAGTGTCTTCAAATTTGTACACACCGTTGAAAAGTCGTATATACGAATCGCAAATCGATACACTAAATATAATTCAATGATTTTAAGTTGTTTAACAAATATTTTGTCTCTTACATCGTTTCAACCGTTATAAAACTTTATATTTTGATCGGACGCTGCCCCGTGCGGACGGCCAACGTCGCTTTTTCTGTTGAGTTTTGAAACGTACTTGTTAGGGTTTTCTTTTAGAATTTTCGTTGTCTATATAGTAAGCGATACTTAGTATATCATAAAATGATTATAGCCTCTTTATTTGTGTTACATAAAATTTTAATTAATTTTTGACTTGTTTTATATAGAAAATAATCATTTTTATCCACACTCTTTATATCAGAGTTTACATCATTTTAACCTTGGTCCGTGCGCACTATACGCGACCTTTAAAGATCCCAATTTTTATTAAAATGTAAAGTTACATCAATAAAAATTAAATCATTCTGACTTGTCTTTTCATAAGAAATATTTTGAAATACAACAGATTTATATAGAACCATTTATTTTCACTAAAACGTCATTGTCTACGAACTTTTTGGACAACCCTCGTAAACAAGTAAGTGCAAATATTACTTTTGTTTTGTACAGAGTTAAAGTAGAATATAATTAAAATTTACATAGGAAAAAGCAAAGACCCTACAAGTACTGATCAAGTGAAGGAAAAATAACTCATTATTCCTGGTGTTAAAATTTAATATATTTGTCTATATATCTATAATAAATTTTAATATCAAGTATAAATTACAGACTTAATGTTCATTTGCTAATGAATCAATTCAAATCTTTGGGGACATAAAAACATCATTAACTCCTTTTGTCCTCATTTCAAAAAGAAAACTACCAATGTACATTAAATTTATCAGATTTAATCCTAAACAACAAAATCATTAGGAAAGAGAGCACCAAATCCCCGGATGAACACATGGCTTTGTTTGTGATGGAACATTGAACAGAATACTGAATGGGTAGGCGTTACGCCATTGGCTGATTGATGCGTTTTAACATAACCATGAGATTAATACCTAGGTATTTAATTGTTTTCATTTTAAAGTAAAAGTAATGACCTTTGAAATAAATGATGGGATGAGGGAATATTACAGAAACTATAGAATTACCAGGGAAGATTTTAGGAGTGGGGGTTGATTTTTTATGTAGCGTGTTATTTACTGCGGATCTCTATAAGTTGAAAACAACTGCAATTTTGACCTATAAACGCCATGGGACCATATATTTTTTTCAGTATTTTTTGTTAAGGCTTAGAACGAAGTTTGAAATGATGCTAAGGATTTTTCTGAAATAGTCATAGTAAAGTACTGAGAGGGCCAAAGGTTTGTATGGAGGTCTATGGGAAAATAATTAGTGGTCTTTTCCCTATAGAGACCCCAATTTTTACATTGTAAAGTGAACTGAAAGTCATGGAAGTTATTTTTAGCTAATTATTTGAAAATTGAAGACATTTCGAGAGAAAAATTTAGCAAATATTTGATTTAGTTTTCTGCGGTAATGGGGTCAGTGGTGATTTGGGGCCATTGAAGAGAGGGGGGGGGGGAGAGAAGATAGAAATTGGTAAAACCCTGTACAGTTGACATGGCCAAAGGAGGAAGGTAAGTTAAGAAAATGTATCAGATTGCTCTTAAAATGAATGATTGTATGTATGCGTAGATTTATGTATGTATTTTGTGTGTACATGTAACTGTGTTTTTATTATGTTTTGCTCTATCTATGTATATTATGGAAGTGTAGGACAGTGACCTGGTGTTCATTTTTATTTAGTTTCTTCGACTTTTGCACTTTTGGCATCTTTTCAAATAATTAAGGTGGCATTTAAAAGGAATTTTTGTGACGGACAAGTGAAAGGTGGACATTTTATGTCTTGTCATCTCATGTGTGGTAGTATATGTGTTCCTCTGGATACCCCCCCCCCCTTTCCTTGGCTGTAGGGTGATCAAATTGTAGTTTTGTTGTCTCTATGTTGTAGCCACACAAAGGTCTATGTTATCCCTTTTCTCGCTCTCTGTCTCTGTAGTTTTATCAGAATGACTCGCTGCAACTCATTTTCTAATGGTTTCTAGTTTTTGTACTTAGAGTTACTTCCCTTAGACCTGCTAACCAGACATGTAGAATTTCAAGATGATGATATCTAACTATTGTGACCTTTGGCTTCTGATTTTTTTCATTAATTATTGGAATGACCTTGAACTGCATGTATCACATTTGACCTTTATTATATTAACATGTAATATTATGTAATATTGAAAAAAACATGTATTGCACCCTTGGCGGATCCATTTTTTGTACATTTTGCTATGTAGAAGATATGTAATTAAGGAAATTTTGAGAAAACTTGAATAATATTGTTGTTTCTTTCATGATTTATGCTTAATTTGACAAATTTTATTGATTAATTTTCATTTAAGCACTGTAGAGGACTTTCACATTTCAGCTTCCTTGGCCCAGGGAGTGCATGGTCTCTGATCAGCGGGGGCATTTTCTCTATATAAGAAGAAGATGGAGACTCGCTACCCACCCGATGTATTTTGTCGGACAGTTTTCTGTACATTGCAGGTATATTTTTCATTTATTAAATTTCCAGCCTCTTATTGTGTAGCACATTTTGGGGTTTGAAGTAAGTTTTTGCTTTTCTTAATTTTTTAAATAAAATATTTAAATTCTCCTTTTCTAAGCATGAAATTCAAAAATGTAGCTTATGATTGTAATGTATAAGACTACAGATACTGAACTTTGATTTGTTATCAAAAGGATTGATATTTACTCTTGTCTAAATTAATTTTAAACGAAAATAAAAGGGGGCACCTGCTATTTCTTTAAGGGTTTTTCACTAGGGGGTGGGGGAACTTTTTTGTACATACTTAAGCAGTAGAAGGGATTAGATAAGAATCAATTAGTATATCAGAGTCTTAAATAATTTACTTTGCATAAGCATAAAAGATTTCTATATCAGTCTTCTTAAAACCTTTGAATTTAGCTTAATTAACTATGATTTATTAAATTTTAGAGCTTTTTACCAAGTTCTGGGTAGAATCCACCCTTATGAAAAAATTGACTCAATTTTGACTTTATATCACTTTATTAACATTAAGAAAGCAAAACAATTCATTGCACAAATATTTTATTCATTACAGTCACAAATATATCCAAATATCATCACCGGTCAGAAAGTCATTCACTCTGTTGAACTGTGGTGGAAGCAGTGAGGTGTCACTTATTGAGATGGTCACAGTATCCAATACACTGAAGTCACAGGGCACAAATTTCATACATGTACACAGGTAGGTGTATAGTCTTTGAAATTACCACAATCGACTAATTCTGGGATAGGTAAGTATGTAAGTATAGGAAAGAGAGCACCAAATCCCCGGATGAACACATGGCTTTGTTTGTGATGGAACATTGAACAGAATACTGAATGGGTAGGCGTTACGCCATTGGCTGAAATTAGGTATTTAATTGTTTTCATTTTAAAGTAAAAGTAATGACCTTTGAAATAAATGATGGGATGAGGGAATATTACAGAAACTATAGAATTACCAGGGAAGATTTTAGGAGTGGGGGTTGATTTTTTATGTAGCGTGTTATTTACTGCGGATCTCTATAAGTTGAAAACAACTGCAATTTTGACCTATAAACGCCATGGGACCATATATTTTTTTCAGTATTTTTTGTTAAGGCTTAGAACGAAGTTTGAAATGATGCTAAGGATTTTTCTGAAATAGTCATAGTAAAGTACTGAGAGGGCCAAAGGTTTGTATGGAGGTCTATGGGAAAATAATTAGTGGTCTTTTCCCTATAGAGACCCCAATTTTTACATTGTAAAGTGAACTGAAAGTCATGGAAGTTATTTTTAGCTAATTATTTGAAAATTGAAGACATTTCGAGAGAAAAATTTAGCAAATATTTGATTTAGTTTTCTGCGGTAATGGGGTCAGTGGTGATTTGGGGCCATTGAAGAGAGGGGGGGGGGGGGGGGGAGAGAAGATAGAAATTGGTAAAACCCTGTACAGTTGACATGGCCAAAGGAGGAAGGTAAGTTAAGAAAATGTATCAGATTGCTCTTAAAATGAATGATTGTATGTATGCGTAGATTTATGTATGTATTTTGTGTGTACATGTAACTGTGTTTTTATTATGTTTTGCTCTATCTATGTATATTATGGAAGTGTAGGACAGTGACCTGGTGTTCATTTTTATTTAGTTTCTTCGACTTTTGCACTTTTGGCATCTTTTCAAATAATTAAGGTGGCATTTAAAAGGAATTTTTGTGACGGACAAGTGAAAGGTGGACATTTTATGTCTTGTCATCTCATGTGTGGTAGTATATGTGTTCCTCTGGATACCCCCCCCCCCTTTCCTTGGCTGTAGGGTGATCAAATTGTAGTTTTGTTGTCTCTATGTTGTAGCCACACAAAGGTCTATGTTATCCCTTTTCTCGCTCTCTGTAGTTTTATCAGAATGACTCGCTGCAACTCATTTTCTAATGGTTTCTAGTTTTTGTACTTAGAGTTACTTCCCTTAGACCCTCTGCTAACCAGACATGTAGAATTTCAAGATGATGATATCTAACTATTGTGACCTTTGGCTTCTGATTTTTTTCATTAATTATTGGAATGACCTTGAACTGCATGTATCACATTTGACCTTTATTATATTAACATGTAATATTATGTAATATTGAAAAAAACATGTATTGCACCCTTGGCGGATCCATTTTTTGTACATTTTGCTATGTAGAAGATATGTAATTAAGGAAATTTTGAGAAAACTTGAATAATATTGTTGTTTCTTTCATGATTTATGCTTAATTTGACAAATTTTATTGATTAATTTTCATTTAAGCACTGTAGAGGACTTTCACATTTCAGCTTCCTTGGCCCAGGGAGTGCATGGTCTCTGATCAGCGGGGGCATTTTCTCTATATAAGAAGAAGATGGAGACTCGCTACCCACCCGATGTATTTTGTCGGACAGTTTTCTGTACATTGCAGGTATATTTTTCATTTATTAAATTTCCAGCCTCTTATTGTGTAGCACATTTTGGGGTTTGAAGTAAGTTTTTGCTTTTCTTAATTTTTTAAATAAAATATTTAAATTCTCCTTTTCTAAGCATGAAATTCAAAAATGTAGCTTATGATTGTAATGTATAAGACTACAGATACTGAACTTTGATTTGTTATCAAAAGGATTGATATTTACTCTTGTCTAAATTAATTTTAAACGAAAATAAAAGGGGGCACCTGCTATTTCTTTAAGGGTTTTTCACTAGGGGGTGGGGGAACTTTTTTGTACATACTTAAGCAGTAGAAGGGATTAGATAAGAATCAATTAGTATATCAGAGTCTTAAATAATTTACTTTGCATAAGCATAAAAGATTTCTATATCAGTCTTCTTAAAACCTTTGAATTTAGCTTAATTAACTATGATTTATTAAATTTTAGAGCTTTTTACCAAGTTCTGGGTAGAATCCACCCTTATGAAAAAATTGACTCAATTTTGACTTTATATCACTTTATTAACATTAAGAAAGCAAAACAATTCATTGCACAAATATTTTATTCATTACAGTCACAAATATATCCAAATATCATCACCGGTCAGAAAGTCATTCACTCTGTTGAACTGTGGTGGAAGCAGTGAGGTGTCACTTATTGAGATGGTCACAGTATCCAATACACTGAAGTCACAGGGCACAAATTTCATACATGTACACAGGTAGGTGTATAGTCTTTGAAATTACCACAATCGACTAATTCTGGGATAGGTAAGTATGTAAGTATAGGAAAGAGAGCACCAAATCCCCGGATGAACACATGGCTTTGTTTGTGATGGAACATTGAACAGAATACTGAATGGGTAGGCGTTACGCCATTGGCTGAAATTAGGTATTTAATTGTTTTCATTTTAAAGTAAAAGTAATGACCTTTGAAATAAATGATGGGATGAGGGAATATTACAGAAACTATAGAATTACCAGGGAAGATTTTAGGAGTGGGGGTTGATTTTTTATGTAGCGTGTTATTTACTGCGGATCTCTATAAGTTGAAAACAACTGCAATTTTGACCTATAAACGCCATGGGACCATATATTTTTTTCAGTATTTTTTGTTAAGGCTTAGAACGAAGTTTGAAATGATGCTAAGGATTTTTCTGAAATAGTCATAGTAAAGTACTGAGAGGGCCAAAGGTTTGTATGGAGGTCTATGGGAAAATAATTAGTGGTCTTTTCCCTATAGAGACCCCAATTTTTACATTGTAAAGTGAACTGAAAGTCATGGAAGTTATTTTTAGCTAATTATTTGAAAATTGAAGACATTTCGAGAGAAAAATTTAGCAAATATTTGATTTAGTTTTCTGCGGTAATGGGGTCAGTGGTGATTTGGGGCCATTGAAGAGAGGGGGGGGGGGGGGGAGAGAAGATAGAAATTGGTAAAACCCTGTACAGTTGACATGGCCAAAGGAGGAAGGTAAGTTAAAAATGTATCAGATTGCTCTTAAAATGAATGATTGTATGTATGCGTAGATTTATGTATGTATTTTGTGTGTACATGTAACTGTGTTTTTATTATGTTTTGCTCTATCTATGTATATTATGGAAGTGTAGGACAGTGACCTGGTGTTCATTTTTATTTAGTTTCTTCGACTTTTGCACTTTTGGCATCTTTTCAAATAATTAAGGTGGCATTTAAAAGGAATTTTTGTGACGGACAAGTGAAAGGTGGACATTTTATGTCTTGTCATCTCATGTGTGGTAGTATATGTGTTCCTCTGGATACCCCCCCCCCTTTCCTTGGCTGTAGGGTGATCAAATTGTAGTTTTGTTGTCTCTATGTTGTAGCCACACAAAGGTCTATGTTATCCCTTTTCTCGCTCTCTGTAGTTTTATCAGAATGACTCGCTGCAACTCATTTTCTAATGGTTTCTAGTTTTTGTACTTAGAGTTACTTCCCTTAGACCTGCTAACCAGACATGTAGAATTTCAAGATGATGATATCTAACTATTGTGACCTTTGGCTTCTGATTTTTTTCATTAATTATTGGAATGACCTTGAACTGCATGTATCACATTTGACCTTTATTATATTAACATGTAATATTATGTAATATTGAAAAAAACATGTATTGCACCCTTGGCGGATCCATTTTTTGTACATTTTGCTATGTAGAAGATATGTAATTAAGGAAATTTTGAGAAAACTTGAATAATATTGTTGTTTCTTTCATGATTTATGCTTAATTTGACAAATTTTATTGATTAATTTTCATTTAAGCACTGTAGAGGACTTTCACATTTCAGCTTCCTTGGCCCAGGGAGTGCATGGTCTCTGATCAGCGGGGGCATTTTCTCTATATAAGAAGAAGATGGAGACTCGCTACCCACCCGATGTATTTTGTCGGACAGTTTTCTGTACATTGCAGGTATATTTTTCATTTATTAAATTTCCAGCCTCTTATTGTGTAGCACATTTTGGGGTTTGAAGTAAGTTTTTGCTTTTCTTAATTTTTTAAATAAAATATTTAAATTCTCCTTTTCTAAGCATGAAATTCAAAAATGTAGCTTATGATTGTAATGTATAAGACTACAGATACTGAACTTTGATTTGTTATCAAAAGGATTGATATTTACTCTTGTCTAAATTAATTTTAAACGAAAATAAAAGGGGGCACCTGCTATTTCTTTAAGGGTTTTTCACTAGGGGGTGGGGGAACTTTTTTGTACATACTTAAGCAGTAGAAGGGATTAGATAAGAATCAATTAGTATATCAGAGTCTTAAATAATTTACTTTGCATAAGCATAAAAGATTTCTATATCAGTCTTCTTAAAACCTTTGAATTTAGCTTAATTAACTATGATTTATTAAATTTTAGAGCTTTTTACCAAGTTCTGGGTAGAATCCACCCTTATGAAAAAATTGACTCAATTTTGACTTTATATCACTTTATTAACATTAAGAAAGCAAAACAATTCATTGCACAAATATTTTATTCATTACAGTCACAAATATATCCAAATATCATCACCGGTCAGAAAGTCATTCACTCTGTTGAACTGTGGTGGAAGCAGTGAGGTGTCACTTATTGAGATGGTCACAGTATCCAATACACTGAAGTCACAGGGCACAAATTTCATACATGTACACAGGTAGGTGTATAGTCTTTGAAATTACCACAATCGACTAATTCTGGGATAGGTAAGTATGTAAGTATAGGAAAGAGAGCACCAAATCCCCGGATGAACACATGGCTTTGTTTGTGATGGAACATTGAACAGAATACTGAATGGGTAGGCGTTACGCCATTGGCTGAAATTAGGTATTTAATTGTTTTCATTTTAAAGTAAAAGTAATGACCTTTGAAATAAATGATGGGATGAGGGAATATTACAGAAACTATAGAATTACCAGGGAAGATTTTAGGAGTGGGGGTTGATTTTTTATGTAGCGTGTTATTTACTGCGGATCTCTATAAGTTGAAAACAACTGCAATTTTGACCTATAAACGCCATGGGACCATATATTTTTTTCAGTATTTTTTGTTAAGGCTTAGAACGAAGTTTGAAATGATGCTAAGGATTTTTCTGAAATAGTCATAGTAAAGTACTGAGAGGGCCAAAGGTTTGTATGGAGGTCTATGGGAAAATAATTAGTGGTCTTTTCCCTATAGAGACCCCAATTTTTACATTGTAAAGTGAACTGAAAGTCATGGAAGTTATTTTTAGCTAATTATTTGAAAATTGAAGACATTTCGAGAGAAAAATTTAGCAAATATTTGATTTAGTTTTCTGCGGTAATGGGGTCAGTGGTGATTTGGGGCCATTGAAGAGAGGGGGGGGGGGGAGAGAAGATAGAAATTGGTAAAACCCTGTACAGTTGACATGGCCAAAGGAGGAAGGTAAGTTAAGAAAATGTATCAGATTGCTCTTAAAATGAATGATTGTATGTATGCGTAGATTTATGTATGTATTT